GCCTGTGTTTCTTTCAACCAACTGGCGCGTCGCAACTGCCTGGACCCCAAATATGAAATTGACAGTCGAGGGCCTCTTGTAAAAAGCCAGGCCCGCCTTCACTTAGGGCAGGCACCTCCGCCTTCACTTAGGGCGGGTTATGCTGCAAACAGGGCCCCATAGGCCTACCGAGGACCCTGGTCCTCGCACCTGTCTGATTTGCTGTGATTTCTCAGTCTTAATGTTCTGCTTATGTTTCCCATGCTGTGTTTCTGTTCCTCGGACAGAGGTAGGTTAGTATATTGGTGCAGACTCAGATGCAGACGCCGCAGAGCTGAAACTTGGACACAACAGGAATTCGGGATATTTTAGGGAGGCCAAGGACTAAGTAGAATCTGTTAGGTACCCAGTAGAAAATTTCCAGGAACTCAGAAGGGTCCTGGAGTCCAACTGCTAGCAGGGTAGGTAATGATGGTAGCGCACAGCTGTATCTGCTGGTCTAGATGATGTCTAGGTTCAGGGTCTGTACGTTCGATTACAGTGCGATATGACTGTCCCACCAAAAGGGCAGGGAATCGGTGGGCCAGGACACAACGGCACATGCATAGTGCCAACGTGAAAACGCCAGGAGGCCAAGAGGAGAACAGTACATATCATCCAGTACAACGAGTACAACTTTGTAATTGTGAAGTACCATTACGAGCTCAATTTGTACAAGTGTTATTTTGTGAGATTACCCGGATCTTAAATCATCTGCAAGGAAAATGAGCGATAGCGAACATCAGAAACCAAGCAGCATACACATGAGACCAGATAGTCGTGACCTCAAACCAAAAGCAGCATTGCATCACGAGTCCCACCAAATAGTAGTACAGCAAAAGCTCATAAGTGACAATGTTCGAGTAGTCTCATCATCATCAACAAAGAACCAATGTCGACATCCTTTCTGGCGCTCGGCGCCCAGACTACAAGTGGCAGATCCTATACCCTATCTACAATGCGCTGGCGACGTACGAGCAGATCTCGGCCAATGCAGTTCTCGCTTCAAGCACCAGGTATGTCTCTCGTATCACTCACAACCTCGTTCCGCAACTCACAGATGCCACATGCACCCAAGGACCACCATGCGCCCCATCCAGCATACAGCAGCGCAGCTCGGCTATGGCTGCCTGCTCCTTCCAGCTCGCCCGTGAGCGAGTGAGCGCTGGCCAGCGTTAGCGCAGCAGCACGTGCGCAGCATGCAGCCAGTGCCCGAATGTCCAATGCGTGGGCAGGCCCTTTGGGCAGGCCCTTCCCTATATCGAAGTGGCCTGCTGCTGCGTGCGGTAATGCGGTACTGGGCCCCGGCCCAGAAGCTTCCGGTAGGCCCCACGAGGCTGAGCCTCAGTCCAAAGAAACAGGCCCAGGGCCTGTGGTGGTTACTAGCGCCCAACTGCCCTCAGCCTTTGTTAGGTCCATGCTGTGTATCCGACCCAGGGCCTGCCTCAGTTACATACAATCAAAGGCGGCCTGGGCCAGGTGCTTCCAACCAACTGGCGCTGCGCAACTGCCTGAATTTTCCCCAGTTGCGGAGTCCAAAATAGGCCTTGGTCGGGTCTGCCTTCACTTAGGGCGGCCAACCTTGCTGACAACAGGGCCCAGTGGGGCTTATTGAGGCCTTGTGCCTCGCATTCCCTCCTCCATACTTCGCTAGTCCTCTGAGAGGTTCATTCAATCTGGCGCTTTCCTTTCTGCAGCAACTTCTCATAGTGGGCAACAACCTGTGGAGCGGTCTGCATGAGTTCCTCCCGTGTGAACCATCTATCCTCCTTTGGATCAGTGTGATGTCTGAACCGAACTCGGTACTGCAGCTTTGGCTTCGGAGGACGTCCCCTGCCTGTCGGTCTTGCTACCGGCATTTCTCTGTGATCCACGATGTCGTCGATGTCGACCTCTCCATCCATGGTTGGGGGCAGCATTGAGTGACGAGAAGGAAACTGATCAGTTTCCCCGAAAGGTGCGAGCTTGGAGGTGTGGAAAACTGGGTAAGTGCGAAGGTGGCCAGGAATCTGAATTACATATGAAGGCCCGTCCAGATCATCCCCACGATATCTAGAACCTCCCAGGGTCCGAAGTACTGAGGCATGAGCTTGCGGGAGATCCCGTGCTCCTGACCCAGTTCTGAGGACTTTACCCAGACTCTGTCCCCTACCTGGAATGTAGATGGGCGGCGGAGCTTATTTTCAGAACCTATCATCGCTGCCTGTGCCCTGTGCATCTGTTCGACCGCCTGCTGCATCAGTTGTTCATATCGGTATGCGAACTCTAGTGTACCAGGTGCAGCAGTCAGCTGGTTCTCAGGTAATAGGAGGTCAAGGGGTAGTCTAGGCTTAAAAGTCAGTAACAGACTGTTAGGGCTCACCCCAGTGGCGCTGTGCACAGCGTTGTTGTACAGGCTGGCGATGAGAGCAAGTTTCTCATCCCAGTCCACCTGATTAGGCTTCATGTAGTGCCACAACAGGTGTTGTCCAGCGCGATTCAGTTGCTCTGCTTGGCCATTTGCCTCTGGGTGGTTCCCGGAGGTCATCTGCAGCTGTGAACCCTGTTCTGCAGCTGCGGCCTTCCAGAATTCACTTGTGAATCTGACATCCCTGTCACTAACAATAGACTTAGGAAGCTCAAAGTCCCTGACCCAGTTCTCTTTGAACAGTCTAATCACATACTCCGTTTTGGCTGTTGCAGGCATAGCGACTAACCTAGCATACTCGCTAAACCTATCCACAATGACATAGACATAGTGCATTCCACTCTTGCTGGTGACCAGTGTGTCCATGAAGTCCATAGACAGGCTCTCACCGGGCCTTTCTGGAATCGGAAGGGGCTTCAGAAGCCCAAGAGGGGCCTGTGTACGTGGCTTGTCTCTCTGACATACCTGACAAGTCTCCATGTACAGCTTCGCGTCTCTCATCATTGTGGACCACTAGAACTGCTGCAGCACGTTGGCTGCAGTCTTTTTATAACCAAAATGTCATGTGGCATCATGACACTCACCTAAGAAATAAACTACGCAAAGACTCCAGATTGGGCACACACAAACGTTTATTCCCGACCTTCTCAAGGAACAGCAGGCCGTTGACCAACTCAAACTCGACAGAAATGATTTTGTCCTTCGCCTTGAGTCTGCGTACGATCTCGTCCATAAACGGATCCTCGCGATAGGCTTCCACCAAAAATTGAGTAACATCGTCCGCAAGCCCGAACTCAGTGATTAGTGCACCAGAGAAATCAGGCCTACGTGATAAGGCATCAGCAGCTTTACTGCACTCCCCTTTCAGGTACTGGGGTTCGAAGTCATACTGTTCAATGACTTCGATCCAGCGCTTCAAGGCATCAGAGAGCACTGGCTGGGTTCTCATCCACTTCAGGGTCTGATGATCAGTCCTCACGATAAAGAATCTCCCTAGGAGGTAATGTCTCCAATCGCGTAGAGCTCTTTCTCATAGGTGGACTTAGCCAACTTCTGAGAGGGCATCTTTTTGGACATGTACTCGACTGGCCTAAACTTTGGCCCCTCCTGCTGCGCGAGCACGGCGCCTATGCCATATTGGTTAGCATCAGTGGTTACTATAAACAGCTTGTCAGGATCCGGAAGTTTCAAGACCTCATGATGCGTTAGCGCATGCTTCAGATGTCTGAAAGCAGCCTCGCACCTATCTGTCCACTCCCATGGGGTGTCAAGGCGAGTAAGGTCCGTCAACGGGGCGGCAAGTATGCTATAGTTCTTCACAAAATTGCGATAGTAGCCTGTCATCCCTAAGAGGACCTCATCTCAGTCACAGACTGAGGATGCGGCCAGTCACGAATGCTGGCCACCTTCGCGTCATCGGGCTTCAAACCCTCCGCGGAAATCTCATGACCCAAGTACAAGATCCGGGTGCGACCAAACTCACATTTCTCCTCGTTGATCTTGAACTCGTGTTGTCGAAGGAGCCTAAGGACTTTGTCTAAGTGCGCAACGTGCTCCTCGACAGTCCTACTAAAAATAAGTATGTCATCGAGGTACACGATGACAAACTTATCCAAGTAGTCATGAAAAATCCAATTCATCGCGTGCTGAAAGGTGCCAGGAGCATTGCAAAGGCTGAAAGGCATCACCACAAACTCGTACAGACCATACCTGGTCTGAAATGCGGTTTTGTGTTGATCCTCGGGCCGAATTGCAATCTGATGGTACCCAGACCTCATATCGATCTTACTGAAGTACCGACACCCTTGCACTCGATCTAATAAGTCATCGATGCGCGGTAGGGGCTCTCAATTCTTAACAGTGTTGGCATTGAGGCCCCTATAGTCAATGCACATCCTAAGGGTCCCCCCCCTCTTCGGTATAAATAAGACTGGTGATCCGTGAGGGAAGACACTCGGCCGGATCCAACCCTTCGCTTCGAGTTCCTTGAGTTGTTGGCGAAGCTCGTCAAGCTCGCCTGGAGACATCCGATAGATCCTACCCTTTGGGATGCTAGACCCTGGGATAATCTCTATTGCATGGACGACCTTCCTCTCGACAACCCCTTTCGGCTCTTTGAATAGATCAGGATACTTAGCGACTACTCCCTCTATCTCCGGCGGCATTTTCACCGGCTCGCCTGCTGCAGAGACATAAACTAGATGCATACCCTCCTTCAGATTTTGCTTATAATAATTATAGAATGCAGCCGCACACATACATCCGTAGGACTCGATCAGACTACTAGCCTTAAACTTACGTAATCTTACGGTTCCCCCACCTGGCAAAATGTGCTTGACCACTTTTCGGTCCCAGTCAAACTGGGGCTGTCCAACCGAAAGATAGTACATACCCAACAAAACGTTCATTGAGAGATCATCACTGACTAGGAACGAGACGCAATGTCTTAGTTCCCCTCCCGTGTACGGGAAACAACACTCAACGTCCGACTCCACGGGTCGACTAAGGCGCTGCACTTGCCACTGTAAGCGCAACCTCTCAATGCAAGCGCGACTAATGAAGTTCGGAGTCGAGCAAGTGTCATAATAGGCCCCGGCCTTACGGCCGCCAATGACTACCTCGCCGACGAACATCTCACTCCTAGGGGCTTTAGCCAACGCCGTCCAAGAAGCTAGCGGGTCTGATTTGGACCACTCCTCCTCTAGCTCCTCCAAGGACTCAAACACATTCATCGAACAGAGGCTCGATGGGTCTGAATGTGTTTGCAGGACGACAACGGAGTCAGTAGCTTGGGCCATCTCTCGAGATGGTGAGGCTGTGTCCACCAGCTCGACCCTAGCAGGATCAGCTACTGTAGCACGAAATATGAGGAAAGCGGGGGGGTTGAAGAGGAGGGGCATCAAACAAATGATCCGCCAATTGGGCCCACCCAATTGGTACAACCATGTACGATTGAAGTACAGAGCAGAGCATCCCCCTGGAATGACAGGTATAGAATCAAACAACTCTGAAATGCCTGTGGGCTGTGAGTTCTATGATGGTATCTTTAGGTCATTACCCCGCCTAAATGGTCCATTGCCATGCATCTCTGCTATTTGGCGTGTGCAGTCGCAGCCTTTCACTACCTACCTACCACTACTCCTAAGGCTGCACATGGGACCCCTGCAATCATAGCTACCTCACAATGAAGGGATTGCAAGTTGCCCCCATGCCAGGGTTGGGACCCCCAGTGAGGGCCCATTAACACGAAGACCAAGCATTTTGCAGGTAGTTGCACCTCCATTTCCCCCCCCCCATCGAGTAAGAGCAGTTACAAAATTATCATCTTATGAAGAGAGGTGAAATGGTCTGCAGATCCCAGGTCTTGATCCCTGGACCTACCTGTACCTTTGTACAACTACCTGTAGACCCCGTGAGCCTGGAACCCGCGGCCTGTCCCTAAAAAGTCGTAGGTTAGTGCTTTGTTCGTTAGTTGGGTTGTCGGGACTTTAACCATAGTACTTAGGAATAGTCGTCTTAAAAGTCCCATCTAGACTAGGTCCTTCCTGAAAACAGTTGACCATAGCTGAGTCAGCAAGGGAGAAGTAGCCCTAAGGCCTAGCGAAGGGTCAGTCTACCCAGCTAGGAGTTTCTAAAGGCCGTTAGTTGACTCTTCGGGACTGTAGGGTTCAGTCATTACGTCTACCTAGTCTAGTCAGCAGTCTCCCAGTCGTACCTAGTCCAGTCAGCAAGTACCTGGTGGGGCTGCACACGCTCGAGCCTGGGACCGGTGGCAGGCCAGACCACCAGCGGAACAATATAAATAAAAAGGCAAAGCTCAACCATTCATTCATTCGCCTGTGCGCCATGCGGAAGTGTTGCTGAAGCGACTTGTGAGTTGGAGATCTGCAGGAGCCCGAAGGAGAAGTGGGCAGTGGCCATAGCCGCTACAGGAGGAGGAAGACCATGGCGGCCATGGCTGCCAGCTTGTTGACGACAACAGTCTGTATGTGTGGGTGAGGACATTCGGGGTAGATCCTAGCGTGTGAGTGCATACGTGTAAGTGTGAGAAGGTGAGCTGCTGGTAGTTACAACGTTCGGCTGGTAAGTCAGACTGGTGCCAGCCGCCAAAGCTACAAGTGTGACAAGTTGTCTTTTACTGAGTTTCCGACCAAAGACATATCTCTGAGTTTTTTTGTGTGGGCACAGTGCGCCATCTCATCCTTGTTGCTGATTCCATGTGGAAGAAGTGTTTGACCATTGGCAACTGTGTGCATGCACGTTGGAAGTGAAGTTGAAGACAAGTTTGATTTCACTGGTATCAGAGCTGGTTCTCGTTGTCCGCGCCATAGCATTTGTTGCCGCGACGAAGAAGAAGACCGTCGACAAGAAGGCGAAATCGACGAGGAAGAAGATAGTCCGTGGGGAGGAAGAAGATAGTCCGCCATAGCAGACGGCGGCCAGAGCCGCCAAGCTCGGAGGAAGAAGAAGACAAGTTGGACGAAGGAGGAGTAGAGAGAGAGAGAGAGAGGTGATGAAGGTGAGGGAAGTCGTACCCGGCCAAGATGAAGGAGAAGGCGCCATTGCCGAGCGTAAGGACGAAGGAGGAGGAGGGCGAAGTTGACGAAGGAACAAGGAGCTGCCATAGCCAACGTTGACCGGAGCCAAATGGCGTTGACCAAAGTTGACCGGTGTTGACCAAGGGTTGACCAATGGGGGTTGACCAAGCTATTGACGAGGGTTGACCGGCCAGCATTGACCATTCCTATTAACCAAGCTGGAGTGCGAAGCGAGGAGCATTATAATCTCTTGAAGCCCTAGCCTTGTCCCTATGCCTTGTGGATGATGCAGACTCACCTTGGTACTTGCTAACAGTCGGTTGTCATCTCTTTCTGAGGTGTATCTAACACTAGGTTGCTCTGGGTGGTACACTATACCCGAACTCCGAGCTGCAGAGCGGGTGTCCAATCTCTTAAGTCTTGAAAGGACTTTGGATGTGATCGTCGTCCTGACTGAGACGTTAAAGAATTCCTGAGGCGTTGTGGGGGACCTCCTTAAAGTGCCTCTTGATCAGCCAATGGTCCTGTAGTGACAAACTAGTGTCGCAAAGGCTAGAATCGAGTAGTTGACAGAGTATCGACCCGAAGTGGAAGCCAGGTGGGTTTCTGTGACTGTGGTTGCAAGCGCATCCATCGACACTGGGAAGTTTGGTGACTGTGGTTGCGAAAGCATCCGACGACTATCGAAAGACTGGTGACTGTGGTTGCACTGGCATCCATCGGCAGCGGAAAGTTTGGTGACTGTGATTGTGAAAGCATCCAACGGTTGTGGTAACCAGGCTGAAGCAGAAGCTCGAGGCAGAGTCAGGCATGGCGGCTTAGTGAGCAGCGACATAGCTGCTTTGGGTTGTCCTTTGGACAGGAGTGCAGCGACATAGTCGCTTCGCGTTGTCCTTTGCACAGGAGGGCAGAGCCCTCAATACTCCGCCATAGCCTAAGCATGTGAGAGGAGGAAGAAAGGGGGAAGCCATAGCTATTGTGGACCTATTGTGGTGTCAGCAGTAAGAGGGAACTTCGGGTATTGATTATGGTTCATCCACTCATTGTTATTATTATTATGGAAGAAGAATAAGATTGGCGAAGTGAAGTGGGAGGAGGAAGGTGGAGAGAGAAAGGGGATTCGTCATTGGTCTTGCTGGTGTACATCTTCTTCTTCTTCTTCTTCTTTCTCTTTTCTTTGGTCTCTATCTCTTTACAAGTGCTTTCATTTCTTTCACAATTGGGTGGCAGTGTCTTTCATTGTGAATTTTCACTTTGGGAATGACCAGGATCGTAACAATTGGTATCAAAGCGGACTTACTTGCTGGCGAGAGGTGTCAATCACCCTAAACCTAATTCCGAATTAGGTTAGGGCTACCCTAATCTCGGATTAGGGTTGGAGGTTAGGGTTAAGAGGGGCACTGAGATATGTGGATGCTGCCCCCACCTGGTTAGGTCATGTAACATCGACATCAAACCTGACCAGGTTGTTTGTGTGATTGAATGGGGTGGTGAGACATAAAGTAGGCTGATTGGAGTAAGCGAGAGGGAGTAGAGAGTGAGAGGTACTCGCACCTAGAATTTGCACTTCAAGAAGACATTGAGTGACTTTTGGGCTTCCCCTCAAGAGGGAGACTTGATCGGAGGCTTCCATATTTGCATCGAGTTTGGTTTTCAAACATCGACAAAGGATCTGGCGTTGTAACAGGGGTGTAGGGAGGCCCTCTTAGTCATGGTAGGACACTTCGTGTAGTGGTAGCTAGGGGTCAGGAGGACCTATGAGAGAGGGGGGGTGAGTCGTTATACATCTTTGGAGGTCGGGCCTCACAGGTAAGTGTCGTGTGACCTGGGTATGCCCGTGGGAGGTTGCTTGGTGCTTCCTCTTCTCTGCGGTCTTGGTTGTGTGTGTGAGCATGCAGATTGTTTTTTGACCTGATCGATGGATGGATGATGCATCTTGGTCTCAATGACATATCTTTCTACAGTGCATTGTCGTTTCCCTTTTGAACGGCTGTAGGGGTAGGTTCTTGCTGAAATTGTCTTTTCCTTTTCCGTACGGTAGAGGCAGTTTGCGACTTGACTTGGCACACCTATCTCATTGGTCCTGGTCCACAACCTACTTGCGACCTGAGGTACTGAGTGGGACCAGGCCCAATGGGACATGACCTTTAGGACCAAATCTGTTGTCGTCAATGGGGAACATACGGCTAGTAAGGACTTTCCTTTCAAGGGATCTGATCGGGCCCGTTCGTTAAGTCAGTCCTCCCTTTCATTTGTTTTTATTTTTATTTTATTTTCTTATTCTGCTGAGTAAGTACCATTCTCTAAGTCCAAATGAATTGTCGCTCCGGCTAGGAGTTCTACCTTCTGGTCTTTGCCTGTCTTTTTAACAGGGAACGGAGGAATTAAACTCCCGTTGAATTCTGTTGAAATTGAAAAAATCCCGTTGAATTCCGGTTAAACACGAAAATGGGCCGCTCCAACGCTTTTCGGAAAAATGGAATTGATGCGCGGGGTCCGGAACACATGGCCCTAGGCACCTTCGCACTCAAACCCACCCACTGAAAAAAAAAAAGCATTCCCCCAACCCCTGAAGCACCTCTTATACCACCGAATGAGACCAACACCGACCGGCCTGCCACCCACCACTGACCAACCCCYCGGCACCAGTCCCCAAGCCTACCCAGAAGCCTTCTAAACTATCCGCCCCCACATCCCCCAAGACTGGTCATCAAATGCACACTCGGCTCAATTGGTGAGAAATCTGTGGTTGGGGACAGCTATCTCCAGGTACGTTGTTCCCTTACCTTATCTACTCTCTCAATCTCTTCTTACCGTGAGGAAGTGAGTCCAACTTGAGAGTCCTCTCTTTTGGTGAGATGTCGTGAGCACGCTACCTTGAGAGACGACAATCTTCCCGGAAGCATCTGGAAGGAGAAAGGGCGGTGCCCCTGAAGGGCCCTGGTCGAAGCACTGGGTCACGGTCACCATGCCAACCCAATGGGAGTAGGTCACGCATGTGATGGCTGCTGTCCATTTTGGCACTTGCTGCGCTAAATAGAAGTCCTGTCGGGTGTGCCAGCCTTTTATGAGACGCTTACCAAACCGTCTATAAACATTTCTGGTTGGGGACTCGGAGTGATTCTGGCTGTGATCGTCGTCCTGACTGCGACGTTAAAGAATTCCTGAAGAGATGGGGGCGCTCTATAAATTCCTCCTGATCAGCCAGATCAACCGGGTGTAAGGCTCGTTCCGTACGAGGGTAAATAAGAGTGGATTGGCTGGCTTGCTCGGCAACGACTTGGCACAGGGGTGGGCCGATACACACACGAAGACACCGCTTGCTCAATGATGCTTACCGGCATGTTGGATTGAGGGGAGGGGAGGTTCTAATTGAAGCTCAACTGGATACACAACTATACCCACTCATCATACATCTGCAACATGGTCTTTTTGTATTTTGATTAGTTGGTGGACAGACTGCTAACACCTCCCAGACAGATTAGATTAGGACTATTGTATGCTACCATAGCCAGTTATGTCTAATGCTGTTGTAAGTGAACTAATCAGAGTGCATCTAGACTATGTTGACACTCTGTTGTGAATGTTGTAGATTGTCACTCGATCGGTACAGTAGGGGACCTGCCGGACACAACTATTTTTAGAAAATTAAGTGTCGGTCAAACACATGTTGTGGTAGGACTCCACTAGGGGGTTCTAGTGCAGATAATGTTTGCCTGATTCATGAACGGGGCAGACGTTGATGAGGAGAGAGTTGACGATGTTAGACTCACACGTGCTAGATCACTTAGGATCCCGCACGTGTTCCAAGCCTTAGAACCGGGAGAAGAAAGACGGCTACATAGAGCCCGTGCACTAGCAGCAGCTAGGGAAACAGTAAACGCCGCAGCTAGGGAACAGGCTGAAGCGGCAGTCAGGGCAGCAGCCATGACTAGTTCAGCAGCATCCTCTGCTGCGTTGTCTGGGACCAATGGGACCCAGTTGGGAATGCCAACAGGGTCCATGGGCACTTCCAGTTCGTTAGGTTCTACGCAGTCTACAAGTCAAATGGCGGGCTCACAGTTAAGCTCGTTGACTCCACGCGAAAGGAGCTCAGGGAGCTCCAGCAGGTCGAAAGGATCCGTGAACAGTTAGAGAGGGATCTGAAGAAAGCAACCGATAGAGAAAGGGAGATTACAAATAGAGCAGCCAGGCTTGATACTTTAGAGAACAAGGCTGAGTTAGAGGGCTTGGATGAGTCAGCATTGTCTGACCAAATGAAAACACTCAAGAAGAATATGTTGTCGTTGCATGCACACGTGGACAGCAGATTAGACTTCATGCAGGGCACTCTAGACGAGATCCTGGATGTATTGACAAGGCCAGGATTCAGGCCACAAGCACAATCACCATTGCCGTTATCGGCGATGTCAGGCCCCTTTCCAGTTCAAGTTGGTACACAGCCAAGTGGTACGTCTGCAGCAGCCGCACAGACTGTTGAATCTTCTTCTTCGGGTCCAGCGGTGGTTGCTACACCACCGCAACAACCTGTTCAGCAATCTGGACAGCCGCAGGGTCAATGGTTTCCTAAGACCCCAATGAAACCGCCTCTTGCCTTCTCAGGCGAGAGAAAGGACGAAGAACTCAACACTTGGTTGAGAACAGTCCCGGTTTGGGTGAAGGCAAAAAGGACCTTGCTGGAGGATGAAGTGGTTACTGTTGCATCTGACCTTGAGGGTAAGGCAGCCAAATGGCTAGATGGTGTATTTGTGAAGGCCGGGTACGGGCGACGCATGGTGGACTGGGCTAAGTCTTTAACGTTAGACCAGTTCATGGAGATGGTAGAAGCTCGATGGCATAATCCACAGGAGGCACAAAGAGCCACTGACGCGATTAACAAACTAGACCAACGAAAATTCAAGTCGGTCAGAGAGCTTAGGACTACCGTAGAGAGCCTGATCCTCGTTCCAGGCATCAACTACAGTGACCAGTTCCTGTTAACTATGTTTGTTAGATGTCTTTCAGAGAACATCAGGAACTTACTGGCTAGTGAGGCACGCATTGAGTACCGTTCGTTTGACACATTGTCTAGGAAAGCCCTAGATTTGGCGGCCACTTTAGGCAATGCGCAACCCTCTCAGAGTGACACAAAGAAGAAGAAGAGTCCTCAGGAGTGGAAGAAGAAGGGGGCTAAGTTGATGATGGTTGAGTCCGATGGGACTCAAACTGAGATTGACGAGCTCACTGACCTGATCGACTATTCAGAGTACGACGGCGAGGAGACCGTTGAGGGTAGCACCCTTGCCGCAGTTGTAAAGGCTAAGGCAGGTGGTCGAGGGAAGGGTCAACCAAAGAGTCCAGGGAAGGCCGCCTCCAATCAGACCAAAGTGGCTGATTGGGTCAAGGCGGGTCTTGATCAAGACGTGTGGCGTGACCGCCGAGTGCGTGGCGCTTGTATCAACTGCGGGGAATACGGTCACTCGCAGTACAAGTACCAGAACGCAAAGGTTACGCAAAAGATACCTCCAAAGATGGGGGCATCTTATTCCCAGGCTTCTAGCTCGGGAAACGCGTGAGGCCAGTGGAAGTTTTAGCTGCTTCTACTCTTGGTGAAGTGGGCCAGATACCCTCCCCACTTCACGAGACTCTTTAGTCACCCCGCAGACTCATCTAGACCAAACTATGCTCTGTACGTTAGATGTAGCTGATGCCTGAGAAGACTTGGAGAGTGAGTGGTCAAACAAGGACCCTCGCGAGTCTTGGGTGGCGCTAAGGAAAGGTCCTAGAGGGGAACATTTCGTGGTGGAAGTCGATGTAGGAGGCCGCAAATGTGGTGCCTTCATAAACATAGGCTCTACGCGGAATTACATAAGTCGCGACTGTTTGGAAAGGCTGCACCTACAGGACCGGGTACGGCACCTTAGTAGACCTGTAGCATCTACTTTGGCAAACAAGGAGCGCATGATTGTAACAGACTATATCAAGGACATAGTCTGTACCTTCCCCTATGGAGGAGGAGAACTTAATCATAAGATTTTGTTCTTGGATAGCGACGACTTACCATTCGACATGTTGTTAGGCATGTACTACCTCGAAGTTGCTAAGCCCCAATTCGACTGGGATAAGAAGGTGCTCAAGCATAAGTTGCCCGATGGCCGAACTGTCAGATTGACTAAGTTCAAGGCCAGTAGTATTATAGATACCTATGGCTGCTTGTGTGNGAAGGTGCTCAAGCATAAGTTGCCCGATGGCCGAACTGTCAGATTGACTAAGTTCAAGGCCAGTAGTATTATAGATACCTATGGCTGCTTGTGTGCATCAGCGTTCTACAATTACTAAAAGCAAAACCAAGAGGAGGGTATGTACCTTGTGTATGTCTCTGAGAAAGGGGAGGTCGTTAAAACACCCCCAGAGATAGAACGCGTCGGTGCTAAGTTCTCTGATCTGTTCGAAGAGCGCACAGGAGTTGTTGAAAGAGAAGTTGTCCACGCTATAGAAATCATTCCAGGGAGTAAAACCCCAAAGGGAAGGATCTATAGGATGGCTCCCGCCGAGTTAGATGAACTTCGGCGACAACTCAAGGAGCTAACAGAAAAGGGATGGATTCGGCCTAGTACTTCCCCTTACGGATCTCCCGTACTATTCGTACCAAAGAAGGGGGATACTTTGAGGATGTGCATTGACTATAGAGGCCTCAATGCCATCACTGTGAAGAACGCAGAGCCTCTACCTCGCATAGACGACCTATTGGATAGGGTGCAGAGATGCAAGTACTATAGTAAGATAGACTTGAAATCCGGCTATCATCAGATCGCTATATATAAGGCCTGAGGACCAACACAAGACAACTTTTCAAACTCGTTATGGTCTGTATGAGTTTGTAGTGATGCCTTTTGGTCTTTGTAATGCACCGCGAACATTCCAGCACGCTATGAATCGGATCTTCCATGACCATCTAGATAAGTTTGTCGTGGTCTACCTAGACAACATTCTGATCTTTAGTAAGTCTGCCGAGGAGCACGCACAACACGTTGAGACTGTACTCTCACTCCTACGACAACACAAGTATAAGGTCAACTTAGAGAAGTGTGAGTTTGGTCGCACTAAGATACTATACTTGGGTCATGACGTATCCGCGGAGGGGATTAGGCCGTAAGATGCGAAGGTGGCTAGTATTCGAGACTGGCCACGACCTCAAACAGTCATTGAGGTCAGATCATTCTTAGGAATGTGCGGCTACCATAGGAACTTCGTAAAGAACTATTCTACAACCGCCTCTCCTTTGACTGATGTAACTTGACTTGACACACCGTGGGACTGGAATGATGAGTGTGAGGGTGCTTTCAAGAAATTGAAGCATGCACTCATGAATCATGAGGTCCTCATGGTTCCCGATCCTCAGAAGCCATTCATAGTGACCACTTACGCAAGCCAATTGGCGCAGTGCTGGCTCAACAGGATGCGAAGAAGTTGAGATCAAATGAGTACATGAGCAAGAAGATGCCATCAAAGAAGTTGGCAAAGTCCACCTACGAAAGGGAACTCTATGCTCTATATAAAGCACTTGTCCATTGGAAACACTTCCTATTGGGAAGGTTCTTCTACTTGAGGACTGATCATCAGACCCTCAAATGGATCAAGACTCAACCGGCTGTTTCTGACGCACTCAAGCGATGGATTGAGGTCATAGACCAATATGACTTCAAGCTTGAGTATCTGAAGGGAGAGTACAAAAAGGTTGCAGATAAGCTATCACGTAGAGCAGACTACCTAGGTGCGCTAGTTTCTGACTTTGGCGTATCTAATGAAGTAACTCGATCATTGGTGGGAGCCTATCAGGAAGACCCTGTCACGATGGACATCATGCGCAAACTTCAGGCAAAAGACAAGGCCACGGAAAGTGAGTTTGTGATGGTGGACGGGTTACTCTATCTTGAAAAGGCCGGAATAAAAAGGTTAGTAGTTCCATCTAGTGAACGTTTGCGTAGTTTGYTTTTAGGCGAATGTCATGACGCAACCGGGCACCTTGGCTACAAGAAGACGAGTGCTAACCTAGTACAGCGAGTTTGGTGGCCAAGAATGTTAGATGACGCAAAGAAGTACGTAGAGCCCTGTCAGGTCTGTCAGCGGGACAAGCCACGAATTCAAACATCGCTTGGGTTGTTGAAGCCTTTGCCTATTCCCGCTGGTCCAGGACAAAGTGTCTCCATGGATTTCATGGACACCCTGGTGACTAGTAAAAGTGGCAAGAGGCACATTTTCGTCATCATCGATCGATTCACCAAGTACGATAGGCTAGTGGCCATGCCAGAGACCGCAAGAACTGACTATGTCATCAAGTTGTTCAAGGACAACTGGGTGCGTGACTTTGGTTTACCAAAGTCAATCGTTAGGGACCGAGATGTCCAATTCACAAGTTAGTTGTGGAAGAAAACTGCAGAACAGATGGGCAGTCAACTTCAAATGACTTCAGGGAATCATCCCGAAGCAAACGGACAGGTCGAGCAAATGAACAGAGTTGTACAGCACTTGCTGAGGCATTACATCAAGCCCAGCCAGGATGACTGGGATGAGCAGTTGCCTCTCATCGCCAGCCTGTACAACAATGCTGTCCACAGCAGTACCGGCGTTAGTCCAAATCAGCTACACTTGGGATGGAAGCCTAGATCAGCACTAGACTTCCTCCTACCTGAAAACTGACCCGCTGCAACTCCAGGCACACTTGAGTATGGTGTGCAATATGAGAAGTTGCTGCAAGAAGGAGTCGAGCACATGAAGAAAGTTCAGCAAGCAATGATTGCTTCTGAGAATCAACATCGTAGACAGTCCACATTTCAGGTAGGGGAACGTGACTGGGTCAAGGCTAGTGAGTTAGGACAGGAGTATGAAATCTCTCGCAAACTAATGCCTCAGTATTTTGGTCCCTGGGAAGTCCTGGATATAGTGGGAGATGAGATGGATGGTCCCACATATGTCATTCATGTCCCTGGACACTTACGCACTCACCCAGTCTTTCATGCCTCAAAGCTTGCACCTATCGCTGAGACAGATCAATTCCCTTCCAGGAGATCGATGCTGCCCCCAACCATGGATGGTCAAGTGGACATCGACGACATTGTGGATCACAGAGATTTGCCTGTTCAGAAGCCATTGGGTAGAGGAAGATCTCCTAAACCCAAGAGAGAATATCGCGTCAGATTCAGACATCATACGGATCCAAAGGAAGACCGGTGGTTTACCAGAGAGGAACTGATTGACACAGCTCCTCAGGTGGTGGCAGAATATGAGAGACTGCTGAAAGGGAAGGCACATGCGAAGTAAACATCTCAGCGGACTTTCGAAGCTAAGGGGGATGTCATGTGAGGATTGAGCCCTCAAGTAGGGGCCTTGCCATGATGTACATGTTTTGGGCTAAGGCCTTAGCAAGCCTCGTGCCCGCCCTAAGTGAAGGCGGGCCAGCAAATCAACAAAAGCCCTCTGTGCCAACATTTCACGAAGTGGGGTCCATACAGTTGCAGCACGCCAGATGGTTGGAGTGCACCGAGTCTCGGATCTCAGCAAATGCTGAAAACCCAGGGCCTCTGAGTTAGTTAGGCCCTGGGCACTGGACCGTGAGGCCGACAATGCATGCTGGGTATTGAGGCCAAAAATGCCAAAGGGAAATCGGCCCACTATCTGAATCTGGCTGCAGGCCTTGACAAAAGAGGTGCAACTGCATCCCCCGGGCCTCAACTGTATCGGTCGTGGGTTCAGCGACTGGGGCCCAGACGCAGGCTGAAGGGAGGCCGCCCACACACAACACTGGCATGTAGGCAAGCAGGGCGAGTGGGCAGGGATCCTTGGCCAATGCAGGCATTGCCGGCACGCTGCGCGAATGCGGGGGTGCTGCGTTGTGTTAAGTTGCGTTGGGCATGAGGCAGACAGGCAGCGCTAATACGGTGGTGCGCTGCCTGGACGCAGGGCGCTGGCGGCCATAGCCGGGCTGCTGGCGGGCGAATGGGAGGTGAGGGCGAAGGTGGTTCTTCGGAGGTGAAGGGCGCTGTGTGGGTAACAAGGGAGAATGTGGGTGAATAGGACACGTACCTAGTGGAGGTGGAGGTCGGCATTGGTGTTGACATCATCACTCGCTGGTAGTCAAGTTGTCTGGTTGCTTTCATTGTTGTAGTTGTAGGTTTAGGCTGTAGAGTAGATAGGGCGCCTGGCGCCATTCACAAGAGAGAGCTACATTGGGTTATGCTGTTGGTGTTGCCCTGTTGGGCTTGGACATTGACTCACGATTCTTCTGTATCATTCTCAAATGGATGGTTACTCGGTTCCATTGTGCTAACTGCTCTGGCTTTGACTACATGGACTTCAATGTGATTTTGCAATCTGGATTTCTGTGCTTCGTCCATATTCATGTTCCTTGCATGTTTTTTTTTTTTTTATAAATACATGGAGTTCAAAAACAAAATAAAAAAATATGCGGTTGTACATCTTTGAAATATCTATAAACCCATATTTTTTATTTTATTTTTCTGCCTTTCTTTTAGCCCAAGAAAAATCTGTGACACCAAAAAAAAACACTCATTTTGTCTTTTGTTTTCGTTTTTTTTTTTTCCATTGTGTTCATGTTTTTTTTTTTTTAATATTTTAAAAGCTCAAAAAATAAAAATAAAAATATGAGGTTGTAGACCTCAAAGAGATCTACAACCCCATATTTTTTGTTTTATTTTTTTAATATATTTTAGCTTGTAAAAAAAATAACCACGGGTCCCGGTGAAACCTGTTGTTTCAGCGTTTAAACGGGGAATTCAACGGCATTCAACGGGTCGTTGAATTATTCAATGCGGGTTCCGATTTCGGACACACAGCTCTTTGTGATTTGTTGTTTTTCTTTTTTATCTGAACCTTCTATGTCCAATATTGAGACACGTGCACAGAAAGTGGAAAGAGAAGGGAGAGAGAAGGTATTCTTTTTGAGAGTGTGAGGGGTAAGCTGAGTGTTCATCCAAACGTGAGTGAAGTGCGGACCCCTCTTAAAAGATCTACTGATGCCCCATCCTCCAGCATGGTAGACATCTCATCCGCGCAATGGAAGGCCATGCTGGACGCAGCGGCCGAGGGCGAGAAACCGTTCTTTCATAAACTTTACGAGGACGCAATACATAGAGAGAGGGAGGCACAGGCAGCAGCCAAAGCCACAAGTATTGCTACCCAAGTGGCCCTCCTCGAGGTTCCTGAGTCTACTGATGCCCGGTTCAGAGAGAAGCTAGTTGCTGTCGTAGCAACCTTGGTTCAACTGCAGACTTTAGAAGATCTCGAGTCCCGTGTGACAGCTCTAGAGCAGCGGAACCACGAGCTGCATGCTGAGATAGTCAGCCTCAAACAGTCCCAACTGGCTGCTCACCGTCCTCCTAGTCCTCGTCCTACTGCAGCCCCAATCTCTCACCCTAACACAATCCTCGTGAAGAGAGCAAGTGGAATTTTTTGTGACGAGCGCAGGAACCGGTGCAACTCCTCAAACGGCATCGCCAACAGTTTTGCACAGGTCCCGGTCCCAAACGCAGGAACATCAGCCCAAAACGCTGCAGTTCTTACTGGCGTACAATACAGCGATCCCATAGTGGACAAGAGGGCGGCCACATTGCCGTCCTAGTACGACGGGAAGGGGGACATCACCTCTTGGATCAGCTCCATGCGCTCATACTTCTAGGTACTGCGAACACCGTAGGAAGACCGAAGCATGATCATGGGCACAAATAAGGAGCCCGTCGTACGGAGTTTCATAGAACTCCAAGCTGTTAATGCAGGTTATGAGAGAATTGACCTGACTGAGTGGTTGAAAGTAACTCATGTACGTACTCTTGAGAACCTCCTCATCGCGTAGTATCAAGATAAGCACGCTGCGCTCAAGGCAAGGCTAAAGCTTGAGGCCCTCAAAGGCCAAAAGTGGAGGACTTCCATGCAGGTTTTGGAGCAGCACTTGACTGGTCTGTTCACCACTCCAAACCTGGGAGTGGCCCCTGAAGACTGTCTCCCGGCTAGGACTCAAGGACCATTCCACCTGGCATGAGCTCTTGACAGATCTAGTCATCCTAGAGCCAAAGACCTCGCCAAGCGTGCGAAGACACCCGCTGCAGGTAGACCTTTAGGGCGCAGGCAGTACGGAAGCAGGAACCAGCTTGCCCTAAATGAACATCGGGAGGTTTAGGATCACTCCTACGCAGCTGATCTCTCTCTAGATGTCGATCTAGAGTCGGACTCCGATATGGGTTGTTCTACATCAGCCTTTTCGTCTGAGCTTAATACTAAAGAAAAATGTAATGCCTTTAAAAAGACTGTTTTAAGCAAGGGGCCTAACCGTGGTTCGGGTATGGGAACTGTAGCACACCTCCCCAAGAATGCAAAGATCCCTGAGAAGCTAGAGGCTGCTTCCACCAAGCTTTGGGAAGCCCTCCGCATTATTCAAAAGGAATGGGAGAGAAGATCCAAACCGCGTTTGTGCTTGCATTGTGAAAAGCTTGGGCACGTTGTGCAGGAATATTATCGTCTGCAAGGAAACAGGCAAAGGGCGTAGAAGAGTTGTTAGCACTCTCTACAACAAGGGAAGCTGAACAGTCAGTTGCAGGCCCTACAACAACTTAAGCTGCTCATTAACCGCAGATACATCCGCGTGCTGATTGATAATGGCTCAACGACTACCTTCTTATCTCCTAACGGGATTCGTAAGGCGGGCCTGGGAATGAAGCAAGTGGAATTGCAGAACCCTTGGCAGACCCAGGTAGGCAACCAAGAGGTTGTCACCTCAACACATGTTGTCAAAGGTATGCGTGTCACCTTTGACAAGGATCGCATTGTCGCACATGAGCTGAACTTCTACATCTTGGACAAGTGTCCTTTCAACACGGTCATTGGCTTGGCTGGTTAAAGGCTCATTGTTTAGTTGCGACCTCAACACATGCTTTCAAAGGTGTGCGCGTCACCTTTGACAAGGCCCGCATTGTCGCACATGAGTAGAACTTCTACATCTTGGACAAGTGTCCTTTCGACGTGGCCATTAGCTTGGGCTGGTTAAAGGCTCATTGTCTAAGGACCACGACGGCAGATACTTAGTTCGTGGTGCATGATGCAAAGGGGAACGAGCGTACCGTTCTGTTGGACGAGACGCGCGAGTCCCCAGTGACTCTTTCGAGTGCAAACAAGTTCTACAAATCAGTGCGCATGCGCAAGGAAGCTGAGCATGTGCATGTAGCCCTTGTGAAGCCCCTCGGAAAATAATTCTACTTCTAATTTTGCTGCATTTTCTACCTCGAAAAATAATTCTACTTCTACTACCTCTACTTCTGTTCCATCTACTTCTACTGTAAGAAATCAGTCTACTTCTGATCCAACTACTTCGAATTCGGTTGTAATTACTGTAAATTCTCAATCTGATTTTCTCTCTCCTCAGGAGAATGATCCTCCACCGGAAGTCCCAACAAATATTTGTTGTCTATGAGATCGATTTCCTGAAGTTCTGGTTGAACCTCTTGGAGTCCCCGAGCGTCCGGTCAAACAGAAGATCGAGATAATAGAAGGGAGTGTTCCTTCAAAGGGTTGCGTCTACCTTATGGGACAAGACGAGTTGGAGGAGTTGAGGAGACTAATTGACGACATGATTGATCATGGGTGGATTAGGCCTAGTGAGTCTGAGTTCGGTGCACCTGTCTGTTTGTGCCAAGGAAAGGAGGCAAACTCCGGATGTGCATCGACTATCGTGGCCTAAACCGTATCACCCGAAAGAACGTTTATCCCATGCCTCCCATAGATGATCTGCTACATGTTGCAGGTGGGTGCAAGGTCTTCTCCAAGATCGACCTAAAGTCTGGCTACCACCAAATTGAAGTTGACCTGAACGACTAGCACAAAACTGCATTCAAAACACACGATGGGCAGTACGAATTCATCGTTATGCCCTTTGGTCTTACGAATGCACCAGCCACATTTCCATGCCTCATAGACAAGGTTCTCCGCCATAATCTCAACAGGTTTGTTGTTGTTTACCTTGACGACATCCTGATTTTCAACAAGTCCATGGAAGAGCACGTCAAGCCCCGTGAGGAAGTTTTGCAGGTCCTCAAGGAAGCACAACTGCACCTCAACTTAGAGAAATTTGAGTTTGGAAGGGACAACGTCATCTATCTTGGGCACCAATTGACTGCAAATGGCCTTGAGCCGGAGGCAACCAACGTTGAGGTCATACAAAAGCGGCCTAAACCGACGAACGTACGCAAATTGCGTTTTTTTCTTGGTTTGGCTTCGTATTATCGGAAGCTTGTGCCCAAATTTTCTGCCATTGCTCACCCACTCTCGAGACTAACAAGCAAAAATGTTGCCAATGCGTGGTATGAGAAATGCGAGACTGCGTTCCAAGCCTTGAAAGAGGCTTTGGTAAATCATTCTGTGCTCCGCATTGCGGATCCCAACCTCACGTTCGTAGTCACTACGGACGCGAGCCAA